CATATTTTAATCTGGGGTAGGAGAAGCCTTTTTTTTAAAAAAAAAGTAGCCTTTTGGATTTTTCTTCTAGAGATGGTAGGAAGAGAGAATGTATATTCTAAGTAGTGATGGCATTTAAAGTTATGTTTACGAGCTGGGCTCGGTGGCTCAGCCTGTAATCCTGCGCCTTTGGGAAGCTGAGGTGAGTGGATTGCCTGAGCCCGCGGGTTCGAGACCCGCCTGGGCAGCGAGACCTCCTCTCTACCATAAATCAAAAAACCAGCTGGGCGTGGTAGCGCACGCCTGTAATTCCGGCTACTGGGAAGGCTGAGGCGGAAGGATTGCTGGAGCCCAGCAGGTCGAGGCTGCGGTGGCCGGGAGCGGCCACTGCACTCCAGTCTGAGCGACAGAGTGAGACTCCAACTCAAAATAAATAAATAAAATAAATAAATAAAGTTATGTTTACTGTAAAATTGCCATTCCATTCTAATTAATCCAATTTAAAAATCTGTTCTTTCCTCACTTCGGGCCAGAGAGTTTTTGTGGCAGTTTTTCTGTGTTCTTTCCCATTTGCCCTTCCCCTCTGAAAACCATAATGCCATCAGTTTCTCCCAATTGCCTGAAGTCACCAGCCACGGAGTAAAAACATGCCATCAGCATTATTTGGCGACACAGAGCCGCCTTCCTTGCCTGCTCCTTTTGCAGAGCCGCTGCCCACGCGAAGCCTCCGTGATGACAGAAGCGCAGACAGTTGACGTTTGCCGTTTGTACTGACAGCTGCAGTTGGCTTTCTTGCATTCACACCTAAAAACTTTGTTGGGGCAATGTGTTTTATATTTAAGGTAGTTCATCCTTGTAGTATATTTAAAAAGAAGGTGGAAGCTATTAAATACACTTTCTTCTAAGAATGTCTTTTAAAATTCTGTGGTTAGTATACACTGTGGAGTCAAAATTTTGCCTTACCAGATTATTTTATGTCTGACAGCTTTTTTAAAAAAAGATCTTTAAGTGTCTCTATGTAAAATTAATTACACATTTTACTTTTAACATCCTTCTTTCCTACAGAGATAAATATATAAGCAGCTTTTACATTTAATGGATAGAAATGCATGGCTTTTGCTTTCCATTTTTTAATGAAACACACTAAAGATAAGAGAATTAAATTTAAGAATTTATTTTAAAGCATTTAGTAGCTTAAAAATGCAGCAAGTAATTTTCTTTGGCAGTCAGCCTTTTAGGAGCAAGTAGTTTGCTGATTACTCCTAAAGACTCCCAGTCTTAAGAGTCCCTACTTCCAAGTATCTTAATTTTCTCTTGGGATTAATTTATATAAAGAGATCTAGTAAATTGCTTAATTGCTAAGTGTTGAAATAAGTAATTTTCTAAGTATAATTCATCTGTATCCTTTCAGTGTTTTGTTTTTCACAGATAATTACTTAATAGGCATAATCTCAACTGATGAATTTCAAGTATAACTTTTTTAGCTATAATTTAAAAAGAAATTTTCCTACTGGTAGCATTTTTGAAAGCATAACTCTTGTAAAATAATGTCTTAGAGCACGTAAAAGTGACATGTAGAAAGTATGAGTTCCTATTTTATAAGTAGCTTTTTCTTGATTAAAATGATTGGATTTTATAGAAAAAATTTTAAACAAATTCAGACTATTGTCTAAGATATTTGAAAGCATTACAAAGTTACTACTGTTTAATATTTCTTGCTTTTAAACCCTTTCATTTTTAACACTAGAGTCAACATTTTGGATAACTAGTTTTCTTCTCTTTAGTTAGTGATTTCAAAATTGTCATCAAATTAATACTCGAAGAATGCTATCTCCCAACTTTTGTATTATTATTGTTAATTTGTTGGTTTTACTTTTTTTTTTCCAGTTTTAACATCCAAATCAATTTTTCATTTCAGTGAACTTTTACCTTAATACATGTTTGCTTTGCTGGGTTCCTGAATCTGTAGCCCTTTTGCATTGCAGCGTTATCCTAGTGACTAAACAACATTACGGAGCTATACTATACCATAGAGCTTCTGACAAGCACAGAGATATCCCAGGTTTGACTGCCTGGCATGGTACCCACTAGCCACGTGTGGCTAGTCAACGCTTGACACGTGGCTAGTGTTGCTGAGCTCCAAGTTTTTGCTGAGCTCCAAGTTTTAACTTTTTCTAATGTTAATACATTTAAATCGACACATATGGCTCGTGACTGCTACAATGGAAAAGGGAAAGGAACTCAAGGACTTGGGTTTTAGTTTTTCAGAGAAACTCAACAGAATATATGATTTAAAGTCCATTGTATAAGAGTCACTAGATCTTTGAATAGATGACCAAACTCATTCATTCCCCAAAATAAAACATTAGCTTTATCTTAGATACTCAGAGAGAGGGAAGCATGGCAACATTCGTCCTCAAAATTGGTGCAAGTGCTGGTTATTGTCACTCATAACAGAACAACCCTTGAGTTTTTCTATTCAAGCAGCATCTGAGAAAATATTTGTGTTTTGGTTTTACATGGAGAGAAATGGGCGGAAGAAAAATAAAAACAGTATCTTACTTTGTATTGTGTTTTGCATGTTTTGCATTTTGAAATGTCATCGGCTCAAAGCTTCCCAACTGGGAGGAAAGAAAGCTAGACCTAGAATTGATGTTATTCTCAGTTCAGAGGAGAAAGTATTTCTCAGCATGAGAGAAACTTTTTGATTGGGAAGAGACTGTGGAAAAGAAGATGACTTTGAGATTTAGTTGGTAAAAGGCAAGTATAGGGTTGGCAGCTGTTTGAATGCCGCCTCCTGGGATAAAGAGACCCGATAACTGTGGTCTCAGCCAGTCATTTTATAGCTTACAGAGGCAAGTAAGGAAGAATAGCTGGTCTGGCATAGAAGGTTCATTTTAAGCATGCTGGTTTTAAGGTGCTGATATGACATGCAGAAGCCATCACCAATTCCCAGCACCAGACTGGAGGAAGGGTGGCTCTTCCCTAGATGTGGGAGATCCAGCCTGGCGTGGCTTGCTGGTTTCCATACCGCACGCTTCTTCAACCCTCACCTGCTCCGTCGTCTCCCCCAGGAAAGTGACCCTAACAAATTTCAGTAGAATTTTGTCTTGTGTGGATGGAAGCCTTGGAAGAGGACACTCACTTGAGAGGATGAATATTTATAAGGAAAGAAATGTAAGAGCACATGATCAAAGACATGAGTGGGTTGGGTGGTTCAGAATTGGGGAAACCTGAGCAAGGGGAGTGGCACAGAGGAGGCAAACCTGCACTGCGCAAGGAGGTGAGAAGGGGGTGTGTCAGGGAGACCCTCCGCCAAGAGCTGAGGACCGAGCCCCCAGGAAAGCAGAAGGCAGGACATGGGCCTCCTAGATGCTGCAGGGGCCAGGGGGTGCTGTTCAGCAGATGTAATGTTTCAGTCTCATGAGACAAGTTGTCCTAAGAATCCCGCACGACAACAATAGTGAGCATGCTAGTAGATCTCAGGTTGTGTGTGGGTTTACCACAATAAGAGCAAACAAAAAAGCATTCAAACACATTTCTGTATGCTGTTTCACTTTTGAAATTAGTGGGTTAAGTGGACATTTTTTCAGCTGATGAGAATAAAATTGGTAAGACATTTTTGTGAGCATGTAGTCAGTAAGGAGGGAGGGAGGGAGAGGGAGAAGGAGGGAGGGCAGGCAAGCAGGATGAGAGAGAACGAATTCAGCTTTACCTCCCTCTAGTAGACTCATAGAAACTCCAGTGGGTTTCCCCTCAGAAGCAGGGATCTGTTGCTACCTATCTGCTGCTTTTCCAGCGCTTCCTCTTTGCCTCTGCTTCTCAGTGGTATTTCGCTTCTGTTCTCTTTGTCAGAGCGTCAGTACGCCCGGCTGACTATCCTCAGCTCTGTCTGGGTGGAGCTTCACGTCAAGGCACCCATGGGCTCCAGCAGCTTCTAGTCTGACTGGTTAGAATCTGGGTCTGGTTGGCTGTGGCCAAGCAGCAGGCTTATAGGAAATAGATCTTGCCTTTCGTACGCAGGAACTACCAGGAGTCACTTTCTCAGCAGAAGTTTCTTCGGGAGGGCTTGGTGGCACCTGAGTCTGAACATGCTTTTTCCAGTAGGCATGTTGCCTCACTCCTTCGTGTTTCCACTCTGTCTTTACAACCTTAGTAAACCATGACGCCATCCATATTTTTATGCTACGGCTTTTGAGGGCTTCTTTTTCAGGACCGTAGAATATTACTTTTATTGCAGAAAATTAAGTGGCCGTCCCCCGTCTCTTCCGGCAAGGGAGGAGTTGAGAGTATGATAGTCTCCAATCCTAAACATGCCTGTGGAGAAGGAAAAGGTGTTCCCTGGTTGGAATTTTTGTGGTGTCTTGAGGACATTAAAGTATTTTTCACTTAACAAAATTATTGAAAACTTTAAAAAAGTGCAGCACTCAGCCATATCACTGACAGTTGACCAGTTGTTAACACGAGTGGCCTGGCAAATGGAACAGTAAACAGTAGGAACCACAATGTTCTCCATTTCCTGTATTAAACTAACCTCCACTTTGCAGATTTTTACATTTGTCGTAAAGTTTCAAAACTTTGTATTAGTTATGCTATGGGTGCTTTATTAATATTTAGAAAAAAACGCAGGCCAGGTGATTGCTTTGGAGAGCTGTGTATGGTCTTCGACTTGAACCTTCCTTTTGGCTTTGAAAGGGGTGTCACCGTGTGCTAGCGTACTTTCAGGTGGGATCTGGTGGTGGGCTCTGGTGGTTTTCAGCCGCGTCAGGTGTGAGCCGAGGCTCCAGGGTGAGGTGGAAGACGAGGGCCTGCAGGAGCCCAGTGCCCGTGGCGGCGCTGGGTGTCCGCCTGCGGTCTCAGCTGCACCGTGCCCTGTGGGCTTTCTGTGGTCTGAAGCCCAGCACTGGTTCTGGCTTTGCGTATCTCTGTTTATCTATTCTATTTGTTTTAGTGCCTTAGCTGTAAATTTGTACAGATTTAACTTTTCTTAGAAAGTCATAATTAATACGTCAAACTTTTGTTTTAAAACTAGGATAAGAGAATCAGAGTATCTCAGCCCTTGACCAGAGGACCAAGTGCCTTTATTCCAGAGAAGGAAGTAAGTTTATCCATCTTAAAATACATAAAGTGTGATAAAAATAACTTAATTGTATTAAGACTATCTCAGTGTTTAATATGGAGATGAAAATGTATTTTGCTCTTGAGTTTCTTATTCACATGTCCGAAAACCTTGGGGATGTTCTCTCCAGCTTCTCTTAGGAGCTTGAGTGGGTAATAGTTTGTCTTCTTCTTTTAAGGTTAGGGAGCATTGCATGGTTAGAAAAATATAAATTTAATTATATTTGACTTCAAATATAACTTTTCTGAACAAAATGGCTAAGAGTAATAAAATTTAATATTAACCTGAAGATTTTAAATTTTAGAAAGGCCACTGTTTCCTGGTGGTTTTAGGTTACATAAATGTCAAGAAAAGATGTATTTTAAAGTGAAAATGTGAGTGTTCCAGCTGAACCTACCAAATACAATATGATATTACATAAGCAGTGGCTAACCCCTTTCTCTTGGTTTCAAGTCTTTGGACAGATGTCACAGAACCCCCAGTCCAGATCTCAACTTTGGTAGAATGGGGGTAAGGTGGTAGCTACAAGGAGAGGCTATAAAAGGACACTAAGGGGGTTCTTGCCCGGTCAAGGCCATGCCTGTTCTGTGGGCGTACATCTCTGTGGAAGATCACAGCAATGTGCAGGGCCTTCTTAGTTTCCTAGACACCTTTGAGATATGCCTGGGCTAAGAAATGTTGAAGAACACTGAGCTTTTCTCACCTTCAAAGAGTTATTAACTCATTTTGAATACAGTCAGTCTGTATACCGATTCACGGTTTATTGCAAAGGTATCGTTTTGATTGTTCTTATACTGTTCTGAGATTAGTCAACAAATACTTATAGAGCATTGGTTCTGGCCAAGCATCAGCATTGTCTTAGAAGAAGGACGAGCAGAATTAAAGTGATGCTAGATGATTGCCAGAGGCAGCAGCTCTCTTCTCTTGCTTTCAACTTTTTAGAGATTTTACCATTGGAGTGGCGATCCAAAATGGCGGTATCATGCCAGGAGCTGATCTGGGGGTGGCCACGCCATGCTTATGCCTGTTTTTGTTGTTGGTAGTGGTGTTGTTTGGATTTTTTTGGGTTTTTTTGCATTGCTTGGGACTACTCTTAATTGCCTAGTCCATTTAAAGACTTACTGAAGCACAGTCGTTTCTATGGTGCACATCTGAAGATGATCTGGCTTCTGGGGTCTCTTGCGTCATGTGAATCTGTTCATCTATCTTAGGCATCCAGTTAGACACAAGAAACGTCTAGGGAAAGCACGACAAAAGCAACAAATACTCTGTTCCTAACTCTATGCAGTTCATCGGGAATCTTGTGATGTCTGCAGCTCTCCCCCTGGTCCCTCAGTTGACAAACTGGCCGGAAATGGGCACACAAAAGCACAGCTGACTCCAGAACACGTCACACTGTGCAACTAACATTTCCTCACAGCCTCTACTTTTCTTTTCTTTTTTTTTTGTTTTGAGTTGGAGTCTCACTCTGTCGCCCAGACTGGAGCACAGTGGCCGCTCCCGGCCACCGCAGCCTCGACCTGCTGGGCTCCGGCGATCCTTCCGCCTCAGCCTTCCGAGTAGCTGGAACCACAGGCACGTGCTACCACGCCCAGCTAATTTTTGATTTATTGTGACGATGAGGTCTCGCCAAGTTGCCCAGGCGGGTCTCAAATCCGCGGGCTCAGGCAATCCACTCACCTCAGCCTCCCAAGGAGCGGGATTACAGGCTGAGCCACTGAGCCTGGCTTCTACTTTTCAAACATTGCTTCCCTCGGGATTAAATTTCCCTAAGTCAAGAGCGCCTTTGTATAATTTGTACTTACTTTTCAGAAAAGACTGCGAAGCCAGCTCTGAAGAGTAAACAGAGTTTCTTAATAGCAGTGCAGATCTTTGGAAAGGTCATTAGTTTGAACTTTAGGAGATCTGGACTCTAGACCAGGCTCTGCTGTTAACAAGGTGCACGAGCTTGAATTTAACCTTGACTCTGTTTCCTTATCTCTAAAATAAGAAATATAGTCTCCTTAAGCCTGGAACGCTAATGCTAGAATACGAATAAATAGTGAGCCAGTTTTATTATGCGTCTCACATCCATTAATTCCCACAGTTGGGTCCTTCTACAAAGTGCTAATAAACCCTTAGCACCTTCAGAGCCGATTCCTGGTGTGATGCCCAAACTGTCATTGTGTATAAATAATCTATTTTGAGGCAGCTCTTTTCAGTTCCTAGGTAGGAGGATGTCCATTGTAATAACTTACTTTGTTTTTAGTAATTAATAGGATAGGCTCAAAATAGGAGTGGCAGTGTTCTAGTGTCCTAATTAATCTTTCAATTAACACGTTCCTAAAAATTATCGTATATTCTTGTGCCTCTAAAAAGGCTTCAGCAAAGGATCAAACTAAGGTATTTGTCTAAAAACGATATGATTGATTACCTTCACAGGCTGAGGAGATGAAATTGTCAATGCATGTAACCAAATACCACTGCTTTGCCTCACCACGAATTGGTGTGACAATGGCCAGGCAAGTGGGCCCTGAAGAAGCTGCCTCGTGTGTCTGGCAAACAGATGGAAGCCTCTTTTCTTGAGCTTCATAGCTATGTGTATGTTTGATAATTTAACATTTGTTGTTTAATCAATTGTGGTGCCAGAGCCAAAAATGAAGGGTGCGTTCTCTTTTTTCGGTTTCTAGTATGAGCAACTGCATAATCTGTTAATGTCAAGTGAATATTCATTTGCTCCAGGGTTGGCCTAATGTTCGGAAACCGAGGGTGTGTGCTGTCTCAGTAGTGACTTTGCTTTGTGTTCCTGGCTGTCAGGTTGTCCCGGCCAACGCGGTGGACGAGCGCACTAACTTCCTGGTGGAGGAGTACTCCACATCCGGCCGCCTGGACAACGTCACCCAGGTCATGAGCCTGCACACCCAGTACCTGGAGTCCTTCCTGCGCAGCCAGTTCTACATGCTGCGCATGGATGGCCCCCTCCCCCTGCCGTTCCGCCACTACATCGCGATAATGGTGAGGCTTGCTGTGCTGGTATGTTTCTGCTTTCTGATAATGGCTTCTGCTTTACTCACGCCTTGTCCCTTCCAGAGTTAGCGTGCATGTGCACACATGCGTGTGAGCCAAGGCTGAGGCCTGAAAAACCCTGTGGTCCCTTGGACGCATTTGGAATGCTTCCAGCCCCTTAATGCCCTGGAGTTTCTCATTTAATTTTCAGTAAAATCACTTTCCATTTTTCATTTCTTGTGGCCAGAGATGCTTGAGGGGGCCGAAGTAATATCCCACAGGTTTTGTTTTTGCTCTTGATGTCTTGTTTTCAATATTAATAAAAACGCAAGTTGTTTGTGACATTCTCCTTAGTCATTGTATACTTGACGAATTTGGCTAAATAAGAGGAAAGTGTCTGTCAGCACTGATGGAGATTCTGGATGAGAGAAGACTCCCCAAATGAATTGTGACACTCCTAAGAAAAGTTCTTGATACACACTGGCTAAGTAGCTAATGCTGCTACACACCGGTTAACTGGTGGCTAGGAGAAAAATCAGTTGTGAGCAGGGAGGAGAACTGTGAAATGGGACGCTAGCAGCAGGACTGGGAAGGGTGGGAAGACACGAAGACATGGCAACGACTGGGCCATGAACAGCAGGAAGGGGCCGTGAGGCGAGCGCTGTGTGTCTGGGGCGGTCTGGGGAGCAGCAGGGCTGGCCGGAAAGTGCGGCCACAACTGGTTTGATTGTCTTTTAGCCTCCTCACTGACGTTTTGAACAGCATCACAAAAGGCAGCATGCTGTGTCTTATTGAATGGTGAACTTGACTGAGCTTATCATGTTAGCTTAAGGTTTCAATGGGAGTGAGGCTGACGGCAGACTGAGAGCATTCACAATCTGAGAGAGAAGCAACATGTAGTGAACAGAAGGAAGGCCATGTACAGTGGCTCACACCTGTAATCACAGCATTTTGGGAGGCCAAGGCGGGAGAATCTCTTGAAGCTAAGACTCCAAGCCCGACCTGAGCATCTCTGCAAAAACCCAAAAAGTTAGCCAGGCATGGTGGCGGTGCCTGTGTCCTCACTCCTCGGGAAGCAGCTGCAGGAGGATCACCTGAGCCCAGGAACTTGAGGTTGCAGAAGATGTGATCCTGCCACTGCACTCCAGCCTGGATGACAGCGCAAGGCTCCATCTCTTGAACAAAACCAAGCAAGCAAGCATCAAGTAATATTACTTTACTGAGAAACAGCCCTGAGCCAAAGAGGGGTCACAAGTCAGCTCTGCGTGGATTGACTGAGTTGTCAGCATCTAGGCTAATGCTGACTGGATAGGCAGGAAAGGGTCAGAGAACATCAGTGCCGACTGGGTCGGGTGATGTGCGCAAAAATGGCGGACATCACAGTCACCTCAAGGGGGATAGCAGAAGGACTGGAAGCAGCATGGACTCTGAATTGCTAGAATGTAAGCTACTAAGTTTTCTAATGTTTTCGGTAGACTACAGTAGATATATTTACCATAATGAAATGGACCTGTATTTTTTTTTTAACATACCTAGAAAGTAGGCTCTGGCTTAATTTAGATCAGCGTGTAGATGAGGAAGTAATGTACTTCAGATGACAATTATTTGCTCACACAAGTATCAGCTGCATGTATTGATTCAAGAATCTATTGTAACATTATGATAGACATTTTAGAAAAGGCTAATTCTGTAAGAGAAGAGTTATTGACTGTAAAAATCTTTAACTCCCTCTGAATTATTTGTTTAGAAATAGTGGAATGAGACTTTACCATGACTGTTTAATCAATGACTATTTTCTGTACGTTTTAGGCTGCAGCTAGGCATCAGTGTTCTTACTTAATAAACATGCACGTGGATGAATTTTTAAAGACAGGAGGAATTGCTGAGTGGTTGAATGGTTTGGAATATGTACCACAAAGACTGAAAAACCTTAATGAAATTAATAAGCTGCTAGCACACCGACCTTGGCTGATCACAAAAGAGCACATTCAGGTACTGAGTCTTGTTCTTGTGTAATAAAAAGGAATTTTCTTAAACCTTAATTTTCAACACTTGCATATTAGGAGCTTGAGCACAAATATATGTGGAAAAGAAGAAATTTAGCAAGTCAGTGGGCCTAATTTAAGTACCAATGAATACATTTCCTCTTTGAGTAATCACTAATTAGCTTTTGCAAGTAGTTTGGTAAGTAGCTAGGAGAAAAATTGGTTTCCATTTTAAAGCAGTAGGTAGAACAAGGAAAATGCCCCAGCAGGACAGGCTGCCAGGGTTCTAGGCTTTGTTACTCACAAAACACCAGCAGGAGAGGGTGTCTGGGTTCTTGTCTCTGTTACTCCCATGTCTGTTCCCCTAGTAAGTTTACTTCTGTGGTCCTTAGTTCCCACTGTAGAGTGACGGACTCAGCTAAATGCATTCTAAATTGTTTTTTAGTTCTTACACTTCATCATTTTAAGATTCTCAAAGCATGATTTTTTAAAATAAAAATGTGATTTTCCAGCAGGTGAGTGGATGCTTAAATACCTTTAGAAACGAGAGCTTAGATGATAAACAGAATTGTTTTGGTTGCTAAGAGCATTTGTAGAAGGAGCTTCCATCAGAGACTTGCAGGGTGAAGCCATCGTGCAGTCTGCCTAGCACTATGCCTGGCACATGTTCTCCCTAGTAAATGGGAGTTCTCATCTATATCACTGTTGGGAGAAGTCTTTGTTTTTTAAAATTTCTGTTTCGAGTGCATAGAAATTTTTTTGGTGCTCTTATTAGATTACACCTTTGTTTGTTGTTTGCCCGTATCACCAGACATAGCTTCCATCAATCTACACTCGCAGATGTTGGTGATCTATCTGGGAGACTATGAGGGACGATGTCCTCAGGTTTTTGTTCTAGCTTGATAATATATTAGTTAGACCCAGGGAAGTGATCGTTGATGGTAATGTCGTATCTCAATTACTTTGTGCCAGATGCTTTGGTGGGTCAAGATAAAGACCCTGTCCTTGGGCATGCTTGGGGTCTGGGGAGGAGAGGCCAGGATAATGACAGTAATCAAAGCATAATAGGGTATGAATGTGTGAGCAAAGAGAATACCATCGAAAGGTCTCTTGTAAAGGTAACCTCGGAGCTGGGTATTCAAGAGGAAGTGAGAGCTTTCGAGAAGAAGAGGGCATTTCGGAGAACGGGTATGTAGCCTTATGGTGCCGTTGAAGAGCAGCTGACAGCGTCTCGTTTTTGAGGCAGAAGGGTGTTGACGTAAGGTGGGGAGTGGGAGATGTGAAGACTCGGGATCATGTTGAATGACCCCATGACGCTCTGGGTGTTTGAAGAGGTGTGTTTTATCCTCAGAAAGTTATGTTATCATCTCTCAGGAGCTGCACGATGCTGTCCTTCAAACAATTCAAATGTGTGTGTTTGTATGTGTATGTATTCTTGTCTCAGTCTCTTAAATTTCTGTATTAGTGTCTTTTACTGTGTTAGCATTACAGTATAGGTATATAAGTATTCTATAGAAAACATATTTGATAAGTAAATATTAATTTATAAGTAAATGTGCATAATGTCAGGGTTCGAGCCCCCCATTATTACTGTTGAAAGTACATGGGATCAAAAGAGTTTGAGGTCAATATGATAAAGACCTGAGAACCACTGAAGGTTGTGGTGCTGAAGTGTCTATAAGCATGGGTGATGATGGAGAAGACAAGTTGCTGCTGGTGCACACTGGAAGCGGGAGGCCAGTCATCGCACCACACCCAAGGGAAGACTCGTTTTTTAAAGCCATGGAGAGACCCAGAGGAGTGCTAAGATGGTAGTGATCATGCTGCCTGGGAATGAGCAGGCTCAGTGGCTGGCAGGATGCAAGGGTGGAGGAGGTGGGAGAGAAGCATGACCAAGGTTCCTTCTCCATGGCATGAGCGTCCACAGGCTGACAACAAAAGAGCCAGAGGACCACAAAGTGACAGCCAGTTCCTGGAGGAAATACAGGTCTGTGACTCAGATGAAAGGCGGGTTAGAAGTCAAATGGAATGGTTATTTGGAGCTAAGCAAAGGTCAAGTTGAAGGAATGGATGGTCCATCCAGGGGCAGAATGTACAAGGAAAGACCATGGATGGAATATGGTAATAGAGAAAGGTCCAGCTCAAGGTAGAAAGTGCCCCTCCCCTCACAAAAGGTGGAATCGTTGAAGTCAAGGGAGACTAATGTCCGAAAGGAAGAGGACAGTGTGAGTTCTGCAAAGATAAAATAAGGACTAAAAAGAGATTGTTGTCCTTGGCCATTTGGAAGGGGCTTGTGTGGAAAAGAAACCAGATTAGAATGAAGCTTGAAAAAGTGGAAGTGAATGTGAGGTGAGAAGCTAGAGATGGTGCCTGTTGGCTCTCCTTTGCAGTTTAGTGATAATCCCATAGATTGGGAACCGCACTGTCAATGGGACCAGTTCTTTTGGAAAGCTCTTTGGCCGCGTTATCAAAGTCACAAAAATAGTAATGCTCTCTGGCCCAAGAATCCTATTAGGAAATGTTCCTAAAACATAGACAGAACCGTAGCATGGAGATGGTCTTTATAGTAGCAAATGCACAAAACAAAAAATGTGAAGTCATGTGACTGTCTAGCAGTGTGGGGACAGAGAAGTAGTTATGTGCATCCATTGATATACAGTGTAAGCCTCTGCTTACAATCAGTTTAACAGTGTTGTTTCATGAAAAACGAACAAGTCAAAAGGTCAGATTTGAAAAGCAGAAACAAACATGTACATGATTATAACTATATCATAATGCTTACAAAAAATAAAAGAAGACCTGAAAAAGTTTTATTAGGGTGGTAGAATTTTTTCAGCTAATATTTCTTCACAACTATTTATTTAATATATTTTGTGGCTACAGGACTAGGTACGTCAGATTTTAAAGCAGGTATATTTTTCTGTGTGTTGTTTATTTTATTATTATGTAATGGCCCTCTTAATCTTTCATAATGATTTTTCTGGTCTGAACGTCTCTTTTCTAATTTAATTTTTTAATTGACAAGTAATAATTGTACCTATTCATGGGGTACATAGCGATATTTTGATACGTATGATATATGGTGATCAGATCAGGGTAACTAGCATGTCTGTCATCTCTAGCATTGATCTTATTTCTGTGTCTTGGGAACATTCAGTATCCTCCTCCTGATTACTTGAAATTGTGTATCGTTGTTAACTGTAGTCGGCCCACAGTGGAACGTATCATCCTGTCTAGCTGTAATTCTGTGTCCTTCAACAAATGTCGGGCTCGGAGGCTCAGCCTATAATCCCGCGCCTTGGGAAACTGAGGTGGATTGCCTCAGCCCGTGGGTTCAAGACCCGCCTGGGCAACTTGGCGAGACCTCATCTCTACAGTAAATCAAAAAATGAGCCGGGCGTGGTTAGCGTGTGCCTGTAATTCCAGCTACTTGGAAGGCTGAGACGGAAGGATCGCCGGAGCCCAGCAGGTTGAGGCTGCAGTGGCCAAGAGCGGCCACTGCACTCCAGTCTGGGTGACAGAGTGAGACTCCAACTCAAAAACAAACAAACAAAAAAACAAAACAAAAAACCAAAAAACAAATGTCTCTCCTTCCCTTGCCCCAGTAGAATTGGGCTGGTTTTTTTTTTCTTTTCCCTGATCTTTTGGTAATACATTAAATTTTATATATGTATATATATTTGTGTGTGTGTGTGTGTGTGTGTGTGTGTGTGTGTGTGTGTGATTAAATAATGGAGAGTCAAAGCAAAAGAAAGCATTTTATTTTTGCTTTGTCTTAGCCCTTAAACAAACGAAATGGAAATTTTAGGTGGGAGGGTGGGGAAAGAGCCTGCTGAGAATCCCTCCTTCCTTCCCCCGACATACACTGATGGGAAATCATCCCTGAAGGATTCATTGGTGAAATTCACTGGGTAGGGGAATGACTTTTTAATGGTTTCATTTGTGAGTCCCTCATTCAACTGGAGTGTCAAGCAAAATAGCACATGAGGAAGTGCTTTGAAATTTTTAAAGTCATTACTCCAAGAGACACGAAAGGATAACTAGAAGCTGACTTGCTGAATTGAGTTTTTATGATTTTTTGTGGGACAAGGTTCCAAAAAACCTTAAAATGAATGGTTTTGCTAGATAATCTTTAAATGCCCCCTTGGCTTCAATGTTCTTTGATTTGCTGAAAGTATTTCATTAAAATAGCATAATATCTAAAAGTGCTCTGGAAGCAGAAGATCTTCTGTATACTATGGGGTTCGGGAAAAGCTGTAATATAATTGTATTGGTAGGTTTGATCATTTTAATGGAATGTCGTTTGATATCTTTAGCGTATGAAACGTTTTTAAAAGGAAGTTTTAAGTTTTAATTACTGCAAATAAGTATATGAAATTTGGTAGACTTTCCATTGAGATTGTTTTGTATCACTCCACATGTTCATATTTGCTTTCCCGTTCCAGAAACTTGTCAAAACCGGAGAAAATAATTGGTCTCTGCCTGAACTGGTCCATGCGGTGGTCCTGCTGGCACATTATCATGCCTTGGCCAGCTTCGTTTTTGGTAGCGGCATCAATCCAGAGAGAGACCCAGAAGTCTCCAATGGATTCCGGCTAATATCAGTCAACAACTTCTGTGTGTGTGACCTTGCTAATGACAACAGCATAGAGAATGCATCCCTTACAGGCAGCAACTTCGGGGTTAGTTTTCTTCACTGTTTTCCTTTACTATTTTTGCTTCAAACTTTTTAATGTTAAAAATATCTAGATGTAACTTATTATCTGATTAGATGGGTTGTTATATTCTTGAAATATTTTTCGTAATTTGTATTGCTGTATTTAGTCAGTTACATGAATTTCTGGTTTGTCTTAAAGAGCTTTTTAAAGCAAATATATGCTATTGCAAATCACGAAGACTAAACAGCAATGCATTCCAGTGACCATAGGCTTTTACTAAAAAACCTTTTGCAGAGCAGATCCTAGAACAATGTACCTGTGTCCATAAGACACTGGAACAACCAATGGAAAACGTATCTTGTGAGAGCAGAAAGTAAGAAATTTGAGGCTGCCTCATTTAAAGAAATAAACCATAATTTAATATGTACCAAGAGATAGAATTCTAGGTTAAATATATCTACTTGTAAGCTTTTTGTATTTATAACTGAAGCAAAAAACCACGCTTGCGACTGCCTTTGAAGGTGTCACGTGGTTCTCTTGGGAGCGTGAAGAAGCCACAGGAGAACCTGGTGCCTGTGCCAGTGCCGCGGTGCAAGGTCCGGGGACACTGAGAGACCGAGGCATTCACTGGGCTGGTTTTCAACCTCAATGGCGCCCCATGTTTTCTTACCTGCTTCCAGATCGTGGATTCTCTAAGTGAGCTGGAGGCCTTAATGGGCCGGATGAAGCGGCTTCAAGAAGAAAGGGAGGATGAGGAGGCGTCTCAGGAAGAGATGACCACGCACTTTGAGAAGGAGAAGAAGGAGAGTCTCCTTGTGGTCTCTGGAGAGACGTTCCACGCGTTTCCTCCTTCAGGTATTCTTCCCATCTTTGCCCTCCCGCAGTCCTCGGAGCCCAGACGGCGAGGGCAACCTCGTGTGTCCAGTTTCCACATGGACGTATCAATGGCGCCCTTTGAGCTGTCCTCCCAGTCTGCCCCGAAGCCGCTCCAGCCCAGCTCGCTCTCAGGTTCTGCGTCCCCGAGTGCATTTCAGGTTCCCAGAGAGAAGCTTCCAGCTTTATAGAACATGCTCTGTCTTGGGCAAAGTGTGTTTAAGGCAGATCAATTGCTCATGAAGTTAGATAGGAATATCTAATTCATCCCACTTTTGTAATTTTTTAATAAGTGAAATCTTGTTTTAGTAGGTATAATTTTTAGAAGATATCTTCACCTTTTGGGCAGGTGGGGTGTGTGGGAGGATTAATCCCATACTGCTGCTTTTCCAGGTTACTTCTAGAATTACAGTGCACTTGCATTTCTTTTTTTTCTTTTTTTTTGAGTTGGTGTCTCACTCGGTCGCCCAGACTGGAGTGCAGTGGCCACTCCCAGCCACCGCAGCCTCGCCTGCTGGGCTCCGGCGATCCTTCCACCTCAGCCTTCTGAGTAGCCAGAATTACAGGCATGCGCTACCACACCCAGCTGATTTTTTGATTTATTGTAGAGATGAGGTCTCGCTGCCCAGGCGGGTCTCGAACCCGTGGGCTCAGGCAATTCACTCACCTCAGCCTCCCAAAGGCGCGGCATTACAGGCTGAGCCACCGAGCCTGGCCGCACTTGCATTTCTTTGGAATTCTATAAAAATGTATTATTTAGGTCATTTCTTAGGTTCATTCTCCATTAAAAGCTGGATTCTTAGCTCTAGTCTTACAAACACAGTTTTCTGATGCTCTCAGCGACTGAAATGGGAAGGGAACTTTTCAGTTACAACTAAAAAAAGATACTGGACACCACAGAGTAAATGCTATTAAAGTAGCAAAGACTCAATACAGAACTGAAACCCTTCAAGAGTCATCACTCAGCACAGCACCTCTTTCTAAAACAGAGCTCCGCCGGGTTAGCAGAGACTCACAGAACCCCTGTCCTGAGACGTCTCAGTCGCACAGGGTCTGAGAAGCGTTTCTGTTGTAACTTGTCTGCTAACGTTAAATCCAACTTTGGTCAGTGTGTTCGGTTTTGCCAGGATGAACCAACCCCTTTTATTCTTTCCCCTGATGGTGTTTCATAGAAAAATTGTATCTTCCAGATTGGATAACAGTTTTAGTCCTTTTAGTTAATTTAGTCCATTGAAGACCACCACCACTAAAATCAGACCCTCCGATCAGCAGCAGATTCCAAGTAAATAAGGTTCTTGCTTTAGTTGTCGGTTTAATATTCATTCTGCAGACGGTTATTGAGCACCCCTCCAGCCCAGCACTGTGCTAGGCACTAGGGTTTCAAGGCTAGATGAGACATGGTTTCTGTCCTCAAGGCGCTCTCATGCTCGGGGAGAAGGCAGCAAGTACGGCTCACAGCAGCCTGTGGAAGGTAGACACACAGAAAAGGAGCTGAGCCATCTCGGCGGGGGAGGGTAGGACGAAAGGGGGCTGGAGGCAGGACTCCTGCAGCCCTTGGCTTTGTGAGCCTTCTTGGCGGGGTTGGGAGTGGGAAGCCAGGTGGTGGCGGGGGCTCGGGAGGGCGGGAGCAGCAGTGTCCAGACCCAGGAAGGGCACAGCAGCGAGGAGAAAGATGCAGTGTTGGCAGGATGCCTGGCATGAGGTGGGAGTGTGAAAAGAAATCTGGCTGGAGACAGAGGCCTCGCCACCATGACCCTGTCAGCCTGGAGGAACACGTAGCCTGCCACGTTTTTGACATTTGGGGCTGAGGTGTCAGCACAGCAACCAGTCAGGAGATATCTACACAGTGCCTCTCGGTCATCAGCGTCACACGAGTCACTCTCACAGGCATCTTGCCGAGATGCAGATGTTGAATCCCTCGGTCCAGGCAGGGCCCAAGAAGCCCCCTTTCTGCCCAGCCTCTAGGTGACGCAGTGCTGCTGGCCTGCAAACCAACTCAGCATAGAAGGGTCTAGCAGAGAGGTGATTGTGGGTTTCAAGCTCAAGGTAAAGCTTTGGGAGTTATCAGCATGTACCTGGGAGCAGCAGAGTGGATGATACAGATCATCCAGAGAGAACAAGCAAGGGTAAGGGAAATAGCTTAGCCTGCTGAGTCCTTCAGGGAAGCCGATGTTGTAAAGTGGTTGGTAATAGCTGTTTTTTCAGACATTCACTTTTTAAAAAAATTATTATTATAAAGATGTGGGATACAATTCAGGGTTAGGTATACAAACATTGATTATGCAGGTACCCTTGTTGAAGAGGTGTGCCCCTCCCTCCCCTAGCAGTTTCCCTCAACTGCGAGTCCAACCCTCCCTCCCCTGATAGTTTCCCGTTACTGCCAAACATTTTCTTACAGTATTATAATTGTTCAAGGTCTGCTTATGAGTGAGAACATATAGTACTCTGTTCTTTGTTTCTGTGATAGATCACTGAGTATGATTGACTCCAAATCCATCCAAGTTGCTGTGAAGTCCGTATATTTGTCCTTCTTTATGGCTGCATAATATTCCATTGTGTATATGTAGCACATAACTAGTCCAGCTTCAATGGGCAACATGGTTGGTTCCGTTTTTGCTACTGTGAATAGGGTTGCAACAAACATATGTGTGCAGGTATCTTTTTTGTAGAATAATTTGAGTCCCTCTGGGTATTCCCCAGTTCCAATAGGGGAATTGCTAGGTCATATGGAAGGTCAATTTCTAGTTCTTTCAGAAATCACCACACTGTCTGCCAAAGAGGTTGTGCTAGTTTGCATTCCTTCCAGCAGTGTAGAAGCGTTCCTTTCTCTCCACATCCTCACCAGCATCTGTTGTTGCTTGGTTTATTAATGATGGCCATTCTTACTGGGGTTAGGTGGTGGCTCAGTGTGGTTTTGATTTGCATTTCTCTGATGGTGAGTGAGGCTGAGCACTTTTTCATGTGTCTGTTGGCTGCCCATATATCCTCTTCTGAGAAATATCTATTCATGTCTTTTGCCCACTTTTTAAAGGGACTGTTTGTTTTTTTCCTTCCGGCTCATTTGAGTTCCTTGTAGATCCTAGATGTCAGGCCTTTGTCAGATATACAGTTGGCAAACACCTTTTCTCATTCTGTGGGCTGTCTCCCTGCTCTCTTGATGGTTTCTTTTGCTTTGCAGAAGCTCGTTAGTTTGATGAGTCCCACTTATCTATCGTATTTCTTAAGGTATTGGCCTTTAGGGTTCTGAATAAGAATTGGTTGCCTGTTCCAATTTCCATAAGGGTGTCTCCTGCATTTTCTAAGATTCTTATAGTTTGAGGTTTTATGTTTAGGTCTTTGATCCATTTAGAGTTAATTTGTGTGTGTGGTGATAGGTAGGGGTCCTGTTTCAATCTTCTGCATGTGGTCAGCCAGTTTTCCCAGCACCATTTGCTGAATAGATTCTCCTCTCCCCAGTGGTTGTTGGAGGCTTTGTCAAAGATGAGTTGGTTGAGGAATTGAGGCTTTGCTTCTGGAATCTCTATCCTGTTCCATTGGTCTATATGCTTGTTTTTGTGCCAATACCAGGCTGTTTTGATTACTGTAGCCGTATAGTAAAGTATTAAGTCTGGAAGTGTGATACCTCCTGCTTTGTTCCTTTTGCTAAGGATTGTTTTGGCTATTCATGGTCATTTATGTTTCCATATGAATTTCTGTTTTGTCATTTCCAGATCTGAGAAGAATGATGTCGGTAACTTAATGGGTATTGCGTTGAATCTGTAGATTGCCTTTGGTAGGACGGACATCTTAACAATGTTGATTCTTTCTATCCGTGAGCATGGGATAGTTTTCCATTTGTTTGTGTCTTCTTGGATTTCTTTGAGCAGTGATTTGTAGTTCTCATTGTAAAGGTCTTACACTTCTCTGGTTAGGAAGATGCCAAGGTATTTCATTTTTTGTGTGTGGCTATTGTGAATGGGAATGTGCTTTTTATTTGGATCTCTACCTGCTTGTTGTTGGTGTATAGAAATGCAACTGTCTTTTGCACATTTATTTTGTACCCTGAGACTTTGCCAAAGTCCTTTATCAGTGCAAGAAGGTTTTTGACAGATTCTCTTGGATTTTCAAGGTATAGGATCATATCATCAGCAAAGAGGGATAACTTGACTTCCTCTTTTCCTATTTGGATACCCCTGATTTCCTTCTCTTATCTAATTGCCTGAGCTAGGACTTCCAACACAACATTGAACAAGAGGGGTGAGAGTGGGCAGCCTTGTCTTGTTCCAGTTTTCCGGGGAAATGTTTCCAGTTTCTGTCCATTTAGCAGTATGTTAGCTGTGAATTTGTTGTAGATGGCACTTACTATTTTGAGGTATGTTCCTTCTATACCTAGGTGTTTGAGGGTTTTTATCAAGAAGGGATGCTGGATTTTATCAAAAGCTTTTTCTTCATCTAACGAGATAATCATGTGGTTCTTGTTTTTACATCTGTTGATGTATTTAATGACTTTATGTTCTTGCAAATGTTGAACCAGCCCTGCATCCTGGGGATGAAGCCTACTTGGTCATGGTAGATGATTTTTGAGATGTGTTTTCCGATTCAGTTTGCTAGAATCTTGTTGAGGATTTCTGCATCTGTGTTCATAAGTGATATTGGCCTGTAGTTCTCCTTTTTTGTTAGATCTTTACCCGGTTTGGGTATCAGTGTGATGTTAGCTTCGTAAAATGAGTTGGGGAGAATTCCATCTTTCTCAATTGCCTGGAATACTTTCAGTAGGATTGGTATCAGCTCCTCCTTGTACGTTTTGCAGAATTCTGCTGGAAAGCCATCTGGTTCAGGGCTTTTTTTGGTAGGTAGTTTTGTATGACAGAGTCAATTTCCTGGGCTGTTATTGGTCTATTTAGTGTCTCAATGTCTTCTTGTTTCAACGTGAGTAGGTTGTGTGGTGTCAGAAAATTTCCCATTTCATTCTGGTTATCAAGTTTGTTTCCATATAGGTGCACATAGATTATCTCTGATAATCTTTTGTATTTCTTCTGGGTCAGTTGTGATTTGATCTTTTGTATTTCTGATTGTGTTTATTTGGGCTTTTTGTCTTTTCCTTGGTCATTCTGGTTAGGGGCCCATCAATCTTGTTAATTCTTTCAAAGAACCAGCTTTTTGTTTTGTTGATGTTTCTATGATATTTTTGTTTTCTATGTCCGGTATTTGGGCTCTTATTTTTGTGATTTGGATTCTTCTGCTAAAGTTGGGGTTTTGGTGGTCTTCTCTTTCCAGCTCCCTTAGGTGATTTGTTAGCCCTCAATTTCTGATCTTTCCATTTTCTTGATATGTCCTCATAGAAATATAAATTCCCCTCTGAGAACTGCTTTCAGGGCACTCCAGAGATTTTAGTAAGATGTTTCTTCATTTTCATTTGTTTCCAGGAATCTTTCAATTTCTGCTTTGATTTAAGTGTGGACCTAGTAGTTGTTCAGCATCACGCTATTTAGTGTCCAAGTCTTTTTGGGCTTTGGGGAAATATTGTTGGTGTTTATATTTATTTTTATTCCACTGTGGTCTGAGAATGTGCATGGCAATATTTCAACATCATGGAATTTGTTTATGCTTGATTTATGGCCAAAGATGTCATCAATCTTGGAGTATGTTCCATGTGGTGATGAGTAGAATATATATTCTGTGGTTGTTGGGTGGATTAATCTGTAGGTCTGTTAAGTCCTTTTGGTCGAGTGTCAAGTATACGTTCTGGATCTCCTTGCTGATTTTTTGCCTCAATGATCTACCTAGTGCTGTCAGTGGGATATTAAAGTCCTCTGCTATAATAGTGTTAGAGTCAATATCTTTTTTTTTTTGAGTTGGAGACTCACTCTTTTGCCCAGACTGGAGTGCAGAGGCCACTCCCAGCCACTGCAGGCTCGACCTGCTGTGCTCCACCGATCCTTCCGCCTCAGCCTTCCGAGTAGCCGGAATTACAGGCATGCGCTACCACGCCCGGCTAATTTTTAGATTTTATTGTAGAGATGAGGTCTCGCCTGCCCAGGCAGGTCTCGAACCTGCGGGCTCAGGCAATCCACTCACCTCAGCCTCCCAAAGGCGCGGGATTACAGGCTGAGCCACCGAGCCCGGCTGTCAATATCTTTTTTTTAGTTTACTTAGTAGTTGCTTTATAAATGCTGGTGCTCTGTGTTGGGTGCGTATATGTTTAGGCTGGATATTTCTTGTTGATGGATTGAACCTTTTATCATTATGTAGTGTCCTTTTGCATCTTTTTAAATTTTTGATAGCTTAAAGGTTGTTTTGTCTGATATTAAGATTGCAACTCCTGCCTTCTTCTGTGACCCATTTGCCTGGAAACTCATTTTCCAACCTTTAACTTTGAGTCTGTGTGTGTCCCTTGATAGACATTCACTTTTAAGAGAAGATAGACATTCACTGAGATTACTAGAGCTTGAAGGATATAAATTTTTTTAGTTCTTTGGAAATATTAAAAATATATTTTGGACTCCAGTCTCTACCTTCTTGGACCCTTCAAAAATGAATTTTGATGAGCAGGTCTTGGCCCGTAGCCAAATATTTTCTCATTTTAATAGAAGAGGCTATATTATGTATAAATAATCCAAGGAAATAATTTTATTATATATATTTTTTACTCTTAATCCTTGCCACTACTAAATTTATTGACTATACAAAATATATATATCAAGAGAGAGAAAAATGACTCAATACAATAGCCAGTTGAGTCATTTTTATAGACTTATGTTTTAAAATAGAAGTGTATTTTTTTCTGTAAAAAAATGTATTAGTTTAGCCAGTATGATAAAGCATTCCAGATTCTATGAAGGGATTCCAAGAATAGCTTTTCAAGTCTTTTGAAGAAAATAAATAATGTATTCTGCAGGGGTTGTATTCTATCACTTGGTAACACAGGGCTAGCTAGATTTTATTGTTTTGTTTTTCCGGTTAGAAAGGTATTCCATTACTGCAACAGAGTGCTTCTGTATGATGTGATGTTAGTAGCTACTTCTTAGGGGCAGGAGAATGCAGATGAGGTGTAAAATAATATGCCCTTTGAGTACAGACTTTGAAATATTTGTGTAGGTAGGGTTAAAACTAGAGTTTTAGATTTATTGACCAGGGTGCTAACTTTAACGCCTTAAGATAAATTTAGGGAACAAATATTTGTGGATTGAGAGACCTTTGTACATTTCCTTTTGTGGACAAAATTATCCAGAAAACAGGTCCTAATTGACTCCTAATTTTAAAATTCATTCATAAAAATTTTTCCTAGGATCACTTCTTATTTGGTTAATTGCTTAGTTTTTATTATTTATTTTTAAGTGTTTAAAAGTCATACAACAACTTGAAAGTATATATGAGCAAAGCTAAAACTGAAGAACCAACTATGTAATCGTCAGCTCCAGTATCAATATTTGCCAGATGAAACCACCTGGTGGTACACAGTCGAGGAGTAATCACTTCCAGAGAGACACTGTTCTACAGAGTTCAGTCGTCACTTGCTGTTCTTGGTTTCATTTTACTCTGCAACCCACAAAACTTTTGGTTTTCATAGCAGCCTCTGTGTTTGCTACTATAGCTCATGTTTTCATTTCACTTCTATGGATTTTTTTGTGATGGATGGAATTAAGGAGAGCATAAGCTAGTTTGTAAATGCTGAGAGAAAACACATGGATAACGTCATGCCTGAAGTGTTTCTGTTCATCTGAATAGAGTGTTGGAGCACAAGTGGAAAGGTTACGGGACTGGGCTGGGAATAAATCTGAAAACTCTTCAAGCTAAAAGTCACTTGAAAGCTTCAGACCAATTTTAGTTTAAAGATCAGAAGTTTTCTACATCATCTTTGGCTAATCTGCATTTCTCACTGTCACTTAGTACTGATGGCGATATTAATGACCTACAGTTTCTCTCTTAAAAGAATGCTTCTTTCTGCATTAAAGAAACAGTAAAAAATAGATATTAAGTGTGTTGCACAGTCCTTGGTATACAGCAGTACTCAACAAATACCAGCCTCTTTGTATACTAGCCAAGAAGTTAGGTCAGAATTTTAGCAGGATCTGTCCAAAGCCAGGGGTACTTGACCTTCTCTGCCACCTGAAGCCCCCAGTTGTCCATGCAGTGACCTGTGGAAAGGCAGCACTCTCGAGAAAAGAGGACATACTGTTAGGGTGTTCTTGAAACAGGTGAGGAAGGATGGCAGAGTGAACGTTACTAGCCTTCAGGTCTTTCTTTTAGAAGAATTAGTATAATTGTACTTACTTTTCAAGCCTCTGAAGATTTTTCCTGTGTAGCATTATAGTTTCTTATTATGCCATAATATCACTTTATTAACTATTTAATATTTACTTATTAAATAAATAATAATTTGTTTTAATTTAATTTAATAATAATTAAAATATGTATTAAGAAAATGTTGTTCCTTGCATGGAAGGAGCTATTTTTTTTTATTTTGAGACATATTTGTTCCTTTTCTAGAACAGAAGTTAGTAAATGAAGCTTGTTCATTTCCTCTTAATGGTTAAACTCAGAAAAGAGTAATTATATAGGCAGACCAACCTAAAATAAAAAGTGAATTAGAAGAGGATTATTTTTACCCAAATTAATATGCATTGGGCATTTGAAATTTTTCAGTGGTGAATTCTTGATGCCATCAAGTATGCAGAAATCAGTTGTCTTCGAAGTGTTGCTGTGGCCTTCCTGCCCTCCCAAATGGCACCTCCGTAGTGTTCTAGCCAGGCTCGTTAGCACTTTGTTGACCCCATGTGCCATGCACTTTTCGTGTGCACAGAAAGGACGTGTGTCCAGGGCGTGAAGCCCAGTGGCTTTCGCCCTGAGTGCTCCTACTTCCCCAGCATTCGTGCAAGCCCCGGTGACGGTGGCACCCCTCCCACGGCACTTGCTTCCTGACCCTCCCCTCTCCCTGAGTCCTTCTTTGTACGCTGAGACCCCTCCATCAAAGTCACCTTTACTGTGAATACATCAGGTGGAGCGCTGAGCGATCTTAATACACGTCTCATAAAGGAAGCTCAAAGCGGTCTATCCTGTCATCCCTCCCCTGCCCCGCATCCCTCGGCCTCCCTGGAGAGACTGAAAGCGTGTGAACTCGATGCTCACGCCTGGCTATCCAGTGACAGCCAGTGTATTTTCCTCCGCTTCTCTGTCTCCATTTAGTCCGCATCTTACCTGGAAAACTCCAGTTAAATGGTAAAGTTGCCAGTATTTGGTGATGCGATTATATTCAAAACTTTAGCAATAGATACTTTATATTAATGTATACCATGGGGTCAGTATTGTCACTTTAGAAATCCATGGATAAGCAACTGTATTGTCTGAATCACACACAGTATCTTTAACAGTGGGGTGTTTGTTCTTGTCCTTAGACTTTGAGGATGATGTAATCATGACATCTGATGTCTCTCGATACATTGAAGACCCTGGTTTTGGTTATGAAGACTTTGCCAGACGAGGAGAAGAACATTTGCCAACATTTCGAGCTCAGGTAGGTGATGTCTTTGACTGAGATAAACTGGAAAATACTGTCCTTTTAACTGCTAACTGGGGAAATTTTAAAAGCTGATTTCTAAGGAAATTGATAGAGCTTTCTGACAGGATCTGTAAGTCTTTTTATTGAACCTAGCTTTCAGCCTCGTCTAATTTGGGGTCCCAATAGATGGATAATTATCTCAACATGTTCCCCCCCCTGCAAAGGCAAAAAAAAAAATGTCTGCTTCTAGTTTCTCGCATCATTACATAGTAGTTGTGTAACGTTTGTGCACAACTACCATGTAATGATGCGAGAAACTTTTTGGAGGGGATCTGGGGAAGTCAAGGGATGCAGTCACATTTAGAAATAAAAAGGCATCTTGTGATGAGATCATACACCAGTAGTTCTGGGCTTGTTATATACCACCATCCCCCTGGTTACTCTTAGAAAGTAGCCGCAATCATGATGTGATGCCTGGAGAGGGCATAAGGCTGAGTTAGGGCTAACTCATCCATGCTTATTTCAGAGGACCTGCTGACTGCTCATGTCCCTGAATGGGTTTAGTCACAAAGGATATTCCATTGTGTGGAAGAGCATGGTGTGCACAGCACCTGAAAGTAGAAGGTAGCCGGAGCCCATCACTTAGATGCCAAGCCTGGGCCCTGGGAAGAAGCATCCTGTCACTCCAGTCTACAAACTGCCAGGAAGGGCTTTTAGTAAAGGCTTTTAAGCAAAGCTGCAGGCAGAACTAAAGTAGAAATAGCCAGCTTAGCCGGGCGTGGTGGCACGTGCCTGTAGTTCCAGTTACTTGGAAGGCTGAGGCGGAAGGATCACTTGAGCCCAGCAGGTCAAGGCTGCGGTGTCCCTGAGTATGCCACTGCACTCCAGGCTGGATGATGAAGTGAGACTCTGACTCAAAAAAAAAGAAAGAAAGAAATAGCCAGCATACTCGCTTCAGCAACTAATAAAAACATAGAGTTTAAGTGGAGAATGCCCATTTTGTAATCGAATGCCTCTGATTCTTTTAGGACTACACCTGGGAAAACCATGGGTTTTCCCTGGTAAACAGGCTTTATTCTGACATTGGCCATCTTCTGGATGAAAAGTTTCGGATGGTCTACAGTCTCACGTACAACACGATGGCCACCCACGAGGAGGTCGACACAACCATGCTGCGCAGAGCTTTATTTAACTATGTTCACTGTATGTTTGGAATCAGGTGTGTTCATTGTGGAGACAGTTCATACATCCTAAGTGAAAACTATATATATGGGTGTTATATATATCCTGTTTAGGAGTATATTGCTCTGGGGAGAAAATACACATAAGGATTTCAGACTTGAGAAATGCGTTTCATTTTATAGAGAAGAATGTGTTTAAGTGTTGTGAATCTCAACATTCGTGCACATACAAACATAGTAGTGAGAATTTATGAAGGAGAGGAGAGAAAAAGCCTCAGTAATCACTGGGCGTAGGATAGAAGCAGACTATATGTGAGTATCCCCCCAGAGAGAATAGGTGAGTTTTGCAAAGACACATATTGTCCCTTTAGAGCACTGTAATGCATTCTGGTTTGTTTAGCTTTTTTTTCTAGTTTATTTGGGAAGGACTGGTGACTAGCCCATAAACAAAACTAAAATAGACTGCTCTAACGAAGCTTATGTAAGAACCCTGAAACAAACATGTCAGCCAATGTCAATTATGGCCTCCATATTGAGAAAATTAGCATTGGGAGGACAGTGAGTAAACGGGGAAATACAATTGAAGAGTCTCATCAAGAAAGCTCTCGTTGGAGAATGTGCCGTTTTGAGTTGGGTTTTGAAGGTTTATTGTGGAGAGAGATTGGCAGAAGGAGAGAATGTCCAGTCATAGCTACATTCAACTGTCTGATACATCAGAAAGACGTTGTGCAATAGAACTAAAATTCAATCTGTTAAGCAAAGTATTTCCTGTCATTTTCATGAAAGAACCCCAAAATTTCCTGGTAAATCAACAAAGGATGCAACATTCTATCTCAAAGACACTATTATGGACGTATGTGACCACTGAGCTATTTGTCTATTCACCATGCTAGACCGTAAGTTACCAAAGGCTGGTCACATTTTAAAATGCATATACGTTAACACCGACCTACTGAAGAAAAACGAACCAAGCAGGGTTTCTTTGAAGGCAGCGTTCCCTCAAGGCAAGACAGTGCGTGTTTGGGTGGTGTCATGTGTCTATTGGGTACTGCAGAATGAGGCCTCTCTAGTATCGTTAGGTTCTTGTCAATTGAGCATCACGTTCCAGCCCACCTTAACTGAAAATCCAGGAGAGGAGCCCCACAGGCGCCCACCTGCCTGCGCCTGGCATCCACCCCACCGGCTGCCCCGTCCCTGCCATCGCCGCCGCGCTCCATGAGCTCGTGCGCGGAATCCCGCCGCTTGTTTTCCAGAGGTCTCTGTCCCCGTGCCGCCCCTTCTCTCTCCTGCGTGCTTGGCTTTACTCTCCTCATGGATCTCTCCCCCTGGCATGGAAGCATGCCAGTGTTCCACCCACCTTTAAGGAAGAGACTGGCTCTGTCCTTCTTTCCCCTCATTTTTCTGCCTCCAGGCACTGCAACCCCTTGGATCAACGCGTGCACGTTGACCATCGCACTGTCCTGTTGACCGGTCTCTCCTGGGCCCTCTTACAGTGTTGGGCTGTTGTCCCTGCCAGCTGACCACGCTGCTCTCACTGAGGTTGCCTGTACAGCTGCTTGCAGCAGTCAGTCCTCAGTGATGACCCTGTCTGCCTGTTCAGCAGCATTGGACACAGTAATGACCCCCTCACCCCCGAAACCCTTGACTCCCGCCACAGAGCCTCCAGCCTCTTCTGCGCTGCCTTCTGGCGTGTGCTCCAAAGTCAGCCCCTCGGAGAAGCCTTCCTGCCCGCCCTGTGTGAAATCACCACTCCTCTCCTTCCATTTTCCCTTCAGGGCAGTTATCACCATCTGACAAATGTATGTTTGTCTTTTAAATGTTTCCTCTTCTTTAACAGATTTAAGCTCCATGAGACCAGGGATATCTATTTTGTTCACTACGGTGTCACATGTGCTTAGGAGGGTGCATGGCACCTAATAGGTACCTAGTACATATTTGTTAAATAAATTAGTTAGTCGGCTTTTGGTATTAATTACTTGAAAATGAATGTCTCTTGGTACAACATTAGAAATGCAAAACTTTGACCGTCATTACAAGGCTGTTGTCACATTGCCCACAGGTATGATGACTACGATTATGGAGAAGTTAATCAACTACTTGAACGAAGCCTGAAGGTTTACATTAAGACAGTGACCTGCTACCCTGAGAGAACTACAAAGCGCATGTATGACAGCTACTGGCGCCAGTTCAAGCACTCAGAAAAGGTGAGTATTTCAGGACTGAGCCACACCATAGACAGATGTTCAGCATAAGAAGCAGTGATCAAAAAGATGCATGAGCGTGTTCATCAGTTAGTGCCACCAAAATGCAGGTGGCATCCTCTGGCCATCTGGGCTGTGTTTTATTTTCAAAACTCAGGTTTGTTGAATGCCAACTAAATTGTGGTTATGTGCTTTGTTCATCACAGCGTGTAAAGTGAACATTTAGCATCAGTCTTTGAAAGTTGGGTCTAACTGTTGGTGTCTTTAAAGTGCACTTGGAAAACTGTCTGCCATTCTAACTGTGAATCAAGTCAGACCTACTGGGGTGTTATGGTAGGTGTCATGCATCGTGGCCCCGAAGAGTCTTTGACTCCAGCCACCAGATTGAACCTCCTGAGATGACACTTTCTCCTCTCAATTTCATAATGTCATATTTTGACAACATAGTGCAAGACCTTTGAGTCAAATATATTATTCTGTAAGGATATTGTTTGGAAGAAATGTACGGGAAACATCAAGTGAAAACCTAATAATGTGCAGAGTCTTGGCCAACATCATAGCAGCCCTGGGCTCCAGGTCTTTCACCATTGAGCCCAAGAACCCCCTCTGCACCTCAGCTTCTAAGCTGGCGAGTAAGAAGCTCTCTTGTTAGGGCCCTCAGTCTCCCTGATGAGCTGTGATGCATTAGCAGGGAATGTTGTGGCCTCAGTGCCTCACAGATTTTTTGATGTCTCAGAGCCAGTCGCATGTCAGGTCAATACTCATTTTTATCTCCAGCGTCTGGCCTGGATAGATCTTCATGCCCTACTTTTGTGTTTGCACTAGATTTTCTTCCTTTTCTAGATAGCATCTAGGAATTCTCTTTACTCATCAGGAGATTATATCCAACCTGTAGAAATATTTCAAAGTAATTTAAATATAATATTATAACATTTTATAGTGAATTTTGAAAGCCTGTGGATATTCATTTTGACCTATCAACTGAGATGTATTCCCAGAAGGACGCTACAGTTTTATCTGAAAGACTCTAGGGAAGCTATGCATGTCTAATGAGTGTCAAACCCTAATTAGAAACACTAATTAGGAAGCATCAGATTTTCACTGTAGTTTCTCTTAAGTAAATATTGGGAAAACGCTTAGAAGCCTTTCACAGAATAAGCATACTCTATAAAAAAATGTTGGGCTTTTAGTCGTGTTACTTTTACATCTCAAAGGAAGTATAATTTGGAGGAAAACTGTAATTCATAAGAATTCGCTTTGCTTTATAATCCAAAAAGTTGACTGACTTCACAGAACGGCCCATTCCCAACGAAATGATGGAGTTTGCTTAGACCGGGTGGGTTGCTTTCCCTGCTCGCGGGGTCTCTTTCTACAGACGCGAGTCTACGTGTCACGTCGCGAACGTGCATAAAGGTGCCCAGGCCTGCGTGTTGGGTAGGGCCTAGTGCACGTCGGAAGCCCTGGTGTGTGAGGCGGGCTCGCGCTTGGCGCGGGCGCGCGTGCGGCCCCGGGACTGGCGGCCCCGGGACTG